AGTGAAAGAGCGCAAGCTCAGACGCTTCGCACGAAGAGTGGTGGAGTACCAAAAGGCCCCGTTGCCAGAGTTGGAGAAGAAGTTGGTTCGTGATGGCCCTCATTTACATCATTCTTTGGCTTTTTTCTCTTTGGATGACCCCAGGTTGGTTAGTGCAGTGCTAGAATTGGCAAATGCAGAAGCTACAGCAGCGTCCAAGTTACGCTTGGAGGCGTGGAAGGACAGCGTGCAGGAAAATGCCACCAAACTAGGCAGGTGGGTCAAACAGGTGCCGCCCGCCAGTCCTACTGCAAGTTTTGATGGCCCCATTCTACCTGCAGATAGGGCCAAGTGCGCAGCATTGGATTGGGAGAGGTATTGGAATCCAGGGTCGCTTCCGAATTTGAATCTGGGGGACCAGTTGTACTCTCAGATTGGCTCTGCAAGCGATCCATTGCCGGATGACTGTATTCAGGTTAGTGGTTCTGAATTGGTTCGGATTGCGCTCAAAGCGAAGGACAAGGCTCCGGGCATGGATGCCTGGACAGCTCTCCATTTGTGCAATCTTCCCATTGCTTTTTGGGATCAGGTCGGTGCTCTTTGGGATGCTTGCTTGCGACATGGCTGTGTTCCTGCGATGTGGAAAGATGTTAGAATTGCTTTGTTACCAAAAGCTACTGGTGGCATGCGCCCTTTAGCCATTGTCACTGTCCTGTGGCGTATTTGCATGAGTGCCACTCTGAAAAAATTACAGCCTTGGATTGCGGAATGGGCTTCGCCCGAACTTTTTGGTGGTCTACCAGGCAAGGGCATCATGGAAGTCCATGAACGTTTCTACGAAGCTGTCAGCGCGGCAAAGCAGTCTCGTGTCGATTTGGTCGGGTGCAAAGCTGATGTTCGCAAGTGTTTTGATTCAGTTTGCCCTCAGACAGCCATTAAAGTGTGGCGATGGTTCGGTGCTCCCTCATCAATTTGTGATTTACTCGCTGATTTTTACAGTGAACAGCGTCGTTGGTTTGCTTGGCAAGGTTCTTATCACCCTCATCCGGTTATTGCTCAACGGGGTTTGTTGCAAGGCTGTCCAGCCAGCCCTGCGCTACTGAACGCTTTGATGACAGTTTGGGTGAGGTTTGTCAAACGGCAGGAACCAAGGATTTCTTTGGCTATTTATTTGGACGATCGCACCATGTGGAAACAAGGTTGTCAAAGTTTTGAAGTGGTCATCAACGCCATGACTGCGGGAGCGCAAGCCGATGCTATTCTCGGCTTCGAACTTCACCCTGACAAATTGGCTAGCTTCGCCACCAAACCGCATCTGGTTGCCAAGGTGCGCAAGAAGAAAGATTTAGTAGGTGTACCTGCGGATACTTTCACACTGCTTGGCATTCAATACAATTTGTCACGCCCCAGTTCGTGTTGATGCGGATATTGTCAGTGACAACATTCAGCGACGGTGTCTCAAAATTCGTTTGGCAGCACAGCACTTAGGCACTCGCATTGCATTGGTGCATAAGTTGGTGATATCTTTATTTGCTTGGTCCGGTGCTTTTCATCACTTCAGTGCAAGAACCATTCGAACATGGACATCTATGATCGAAACTGCACTTTGGGGTCGAAGGGCTCCTCCAGGTAGGAGCCGGCTGCTCTTTTGGAATTCTTTGGGTTCTGCAAGACTACATCCGATGTTTGCGCTCCAGTTCACCGCCGCCCGGGCGGAATGGAATCGGCAATGCCGCCGTGCCCAAGGGTTGCCTGCAGCTACCTCGCCTGCTCCTCGCTGGAAAGCAGTACTCAAAGATTGGAAATGGCGACTTGACGATGGCCTGTGGCACACGCCTGCTGGGATTTTGAAACCTGGGTGGATGTCTTTGAAAAGCTTGCAAAAGGCCGCTATCCATTCATGGCTCGTTGGTTTGTGGACTAAAGACACCAAAACGGATGGTCGATGGCCAAACGGCAAGGAGCCGGTTTTCCTTTTTCAGGCAAATGCAGCTTTAGGCATGGATTACTACAGTCGCAGGGTTTTGACTGGTGCTGCAGTGGATGGCAGGGTCACAGAGCGCTTTGGTTCTGCTTTGAGTTGTGAATGTGGATTGCGGTCTCCTGATCGAGAACATCTCACTTTTCACTGCCAAGCGCAGCCATGGGATGGTGAGTTCAGGAGCGCTACTGAACGTCGTTTGCTGGTTCCACTTGTGGATGCTCCTCCTGTGTTGCCTTTTTCCAACATGGTTGCAGATCCTGCTTTGGTTACTTTTATTCAGCAATTCGATCCTCTTCAGCGACCCACCTTGGGTTTGGACGGCAGTTGTATCATAGCTACTTCCTGTGATCGATGGCAAAGAGCTAGCTGGGCGGTTTCGACACTTTCAGGCACCACTGTTCAAGGTGCCGTGACTGGTTTTGAGCAAACACCTGCTGCAGGTGAGCGTGCTGCTCTTCTGCAAGCTTGTTTAGCCTCTTCTGCAGCTAACAGACCGGTGATGCTCTTGATTGACAATCAGGCTTTGGTGCGGCGGCTTCAGCGAGGCATTAGCACTGGCCGTTGGGAGGGTGACTTGCCGCTTTTCTGGCAGCGGATCAGCGGCTTATTGATTCAGGGCACTGTTTGCACTTGGATCCCTTCTCACAACAAGGTGCCTGACTGGACACCACCAGATGGTTGGATTGATGTTCATCTCTGCCGCGTTCTCAATGCGACAGCCGATGCTCAGGCAGGTGAGGTGTTGCGTGACTCACGCTCCATGATCGCTGCGGCTGTGCAGCGACATCAGCGAGCCGTGGCTTGGGCTGCAGCAGTTTGGCGTCTGCAGAGGCTACGGACTTTACCTTTTTGGCAAGTCGTACTTGATCAACAAACATTCCTTGCGGAATGCTAGCTGGCGCACTGTGTTTACTTCTTTTTTATTTCAGGCAGGTTTCGCTTCCTTTGAGTTTTGCTTGGAGAAGTATGGGAACTTGATTCTCGCAGATGGCATACTATGGCGTCTTAACTACTTCACTTCGGTGAGGAGCAGGTTGACGTCCGCTTACAACAACAACAACTGCCTTTACGAACATGACCTGGTGTTGCTCCTGCTCGTTATCCCCCATTCACATGTATGCAAATCAACCAAGCGATCATGCTGTTTGGTTGCGTTTCGCATTTTGCACTGAAACAAGCTAGCTGCTAGCTGGACTCAAAACGTGTCCCTTCAAGCAGAACTCACGAACGAAAAAAACTCACGTTCATGTCACATGTTTCTCGTTCTATGATGCTTTCTCGCACTTCTAGGAATTTCTAAGGCTGGGGCAATGGCTTCCTCGAAGCAGCACCAAATCCTTTCGAAAGGCGTTCCAGCTGAATCCAGCACCAAAAGAACTCCCTCAGACATCTGCATAGCTCTGTAGAATGAAGTGCTGCGTGGATTGCTTTTGATATCCTCTTCCACGCAGTGCTGGTTATTGGCATATGCACAGACCCAATAGAATGTACTGCTTGAGAGTTCTCGCACCAGAGCATGCTGCTCCAAGCAGGCCAGAAACTTACAAACAGGCTCCTAACAGATCTGCCAACACAAAATTGGACGTGCTTCAAAGCAATAGATTGACTTTCATCTATCATTACGCTGGATGTTCATTTCTTTTTGATACAGCATCCTATTGAGGTTCCGAAATGAACAAGTCCAAAACTCAACCAAGGCTTCTAGGGGAACGTGAATTATTAGCGGAAAAAGATCAGGGTTCAGATAAGGGGGGAGGAGTTGTGCAGAGGACTTTGATAGGTACAAGACACAAAGCATAGGGTGCGCAACTACCAAATTCGATGCATGGTTCATGGTACCTTTTTGCAGCTACAAAATACAGAACACAACATAATTTGACTCGGAAAATAATTCAAAATATGCACTATACAAAAACCAATGCATCTGAAGTTGAAAAATAGCTGAGAATCGGAAATGCCAACATGAATTTTCCCAATAACATTTTGTAGTTGGGCCTATGCCATCCAAAGTTCCGACCAACATAATTTCAGTAATTAAACATTTTGGAGGTGACGTCGTGACGTCGAACTAAATCGTACATATTTTGTGGATGTTTCAACTTCCTCAACATAATATATACAAAAGGCACATGAGATTTCATGTTGGATGCTTCACCTATTCAACTTGTACAACTACTAAATGCAAATGATATTTTGTGTTGGATGCTTCAACTAACTCAACATATACAACTACAAAATACAAATGAGGATTTGAAAGGAAACAACCACAAAATGAATGCAAATACAAAAAGGTTGGCCCAACTCCATGTTTTTGTACAAAACGACCCCTGGCTGGCAATCTGTACTGTAGCCCAAGTCCTCCCCTTTATGTAGCTGTTATTTTTGATGCCGGGTGGAAAAAGTAACTTGTTGCCGACAGACAATGCAATAGCACGGTCTCAAACAACCTCCAGAGTTTGCCTATCCAAGGCTCGATCCAAGCATGTGACACAAACCAGTGAGGTCTCTGCACTTGAATCGCCATGATCTCAACCATGCTGCAGCCCTTTTTCGCATAGCCGTCCTGGGATTCTACATAATGTTGCCAATTAAAAAAGAAAAACGGTAGATTCTTCAAATTGGAAAATGTTGTCACATCATCAACAAATCCAGGCTTCGGTGGCTGGTTTGATGATCCAGTGATTCGCATCATACAGGTTGAACGTCTCAAACTGAAGCCTTGTCCCACGCTGTTCTCCGAAAGTCTCGCACCATCTGTCAGCCATTTTGGAGATGAAAACAACAATCTTTGCCAATTGTTCGCGAGTGATCCCTCGCTCTGCAGTATCTTCGATGCAGAAAGGCTCCTTCGACAGGTCCACCAACAAATGCAGCAAATGAAATTGGAATGGAATTCAATTGAAGCATTGTGCAGTACCCTCAAAAGGTGCAATCATGGGAATCATGGGCCTGCAATCTCTGAATTTCAAACGATTGACTTTTAAATACGGTTTCTCTTTGTTCTATATTTGATCCTATTGGTTGTATTGCCTTTGTTTCACATGGTCTCAATGCACAAAGGCGCCTGTTCAGTGGCCGACTGTTCCCCCACTATCAAGTAGATCTCACAAGCCACCAGTTCAAAATTGAATCGGTTCATCACACTGCTGCACTTGTTGCAATGGGTACTTGTTGGCATTTAGTTTCTAATCGTGATTTGCTACTGGCTGCGGAGGACCTGGCATGGTCTGCATTACCTATTGAAAAAAGAAACAAAGCTGCAGGTTTCTCTCCTGGTTGGTGATCTCTGAGTCTCTGAGTAGTTTGTCAAGACTAAAGTGCTGTGGCGGGTTGCCTCCACAATGTCATCGCACTGTAGCTGGCAGACCCCACTTGACAGCAACTTGTTCCCATGCCATGGGCTGTCTGGCAAACGCTCACGTAGCAGTAAAATAATGTCAGCAGCGGTGCTCGAAGCAGTCAGTTTGATATCAAAGTGACCATGTCCAGGAATATCCACAGAGACCGACATGAGGCAGCGAATCCTTTGCGCTGTTCAGTGCAGTCTGGAACAAGACACAGGTTTAATATCGATGGTTTATCAAAGACTTGCTCTTGCGCAACATGAGATTTGGCTGTTGATCAGGCTGGCCAGGGTTTCATGTCAAGGTGAGTGGTACCGCAGAATGCAGATGCGGCACAGGTCCGTCTTGAAAGGAAGCTACGGAGACACAAATTGGGCAGCACCTCCAAAAGAACCAACGCAGTAAACACGGCCCACACGGTCAAGGAAAAGAACCACAACCACTTTGCAGAACTCCTTCGAGAGCAAGCTATGTCCAAATAGCAACACTGGATGTTCAAATGTGTTATATACAATATCATATATCTATAGATATACGTATATTAGACGATGGAACATCCGTCATTAAAAAAGAATCATGCTTGGTTTCCGCGCGGTAGTGTAGGACCAAGGCCGAGAAGTCCTGCAGCTCTTCCACTGACTCGTTTCACCCCTGAACCCAGGATTCGACAGGATCCCAAAGAGACAAAACAAAAGAAATTCTGTGTTAAGTCATATTGTGATCATCTATAATCCAATGTTAATAAATATGCTTAGCTACATATTCATAACTTATATATATATATACATATATTGTATACACATGTTCTTTTCTCCTTGCCAACGACTCTGATTCCAAGGACAGCCGATGCAGCGTCCTCTGGCAGAGTTGGTGGCAAAATGCACCTTTTCCGTGCTGGGCAGGATCAGAAGAGATGACAAGCGAAAAGCCAACGGACGAGTTTCAGGAACCACATGAACCACAGGTTTGAAAATAATGTCAGTACTCCGAATTCCGAACTTTGAATTTCTGAAATGTACATCCTCCAATAGCGTAGCCTGGCCGTGAAAACCCAATGTGTCAATAGGAAAATCAACTGTAAAAGCAGGATTTCCTATCACCAGGTTTCACAACCAAAGGATACATGTTGGGGGGGTTGGAAGCACTTGCCACCTGCACCGGGGGCCTCAACATCTCTCTGGGACGTGGACCCCGGTTTCTCTTGGAATACCGAGCCTCAACGGAAAATTCGGAAATCGTTGTCTCTCAATGCTGACCTGTCCAAAATCCATGGGCCGCATAGTGCTTGAAAGATGATGGGAATGTATGAAATCTTCCGTTCCAGACATATCCAGACATGTTGCTGCCAATGATATCTGATAATCAAGTCACAATCCCGTTTTCATGATAACAATTTGTGTTGCTAGTAGTATGTCAATTGGTATCAACTCTAAATCCCTGGCCGTGTCCTCGCCGACTCTCGAAACTCGTCGCACAGTGCTGGGCGTTCGACCAGCTGCCGCAGTGAGTTTTTCCTGCAGCGCTGGGATGAAGCCCTCATCTTTTTCCCCGTGCGAAGCCCATTTCGAGGACATAGTCCCAGCATGTCCCAGCAAACTATGGACTTTTGGATAAGGCGCCCTTTATCGGGATATGATATAACTGGTGTCTAAATATCGGAATCCCCACACAAGTTGTGTAATGGTGTGTGCACATGCGAAAAGCCGCTAATACGGGGCAGCTTGCGGAATAGTCACATGGTTGTCCTTCATCGGTCCACACATTGAGTGGTGTAAACACCGAAAACTATGGAAACCATCTCAACTTGATGGTACTGAACTTCCATACAAGTTCTGGCATTGATAAGATGCTGTAAGCGTGTACATGGATAAACCCCAACCCTTGCTGCATCATCCTCCATGGTAGAAACCCTGGCAATTGTCACTATCTGCAACGCTTTCCTCAAGCGATGCACCAAAACAATCCAAAACATTTGAGATCTTTCAGGGTCAAGTCCAAGCACCTTTCTCCAAGCTAAGCCATGGATTTTGACCCAGCGGATCGACCCCCACCAGATTCTGGATTCCAATGGTGTTAGATGGTGTTATGTTGTTTGATGTTGTCATGTTCTTAAAAGGGATGGCCATACACCCACAACTTGTCGAAACTCAAAAACTCTGGGCGTGATGTTCCATTTGGAGCCATTGGTGCCTGGTCCAAGGCGCAGCGTGCCGAATGGCAGCACTCAACGCTTCATGCGGTCGACACAGTGGTTACACCTGTCTCAGCGGCTTCTTTCAACGTTTTTCAAACAAACAACTTCTGTTCTGCTCCCTTCAGACTGTCCTTTTCTTGTTGGATGTCTTTCACCACAAGAGGGCCAATCTGGAACCCTACAAAGACTGAAAACGAGTTTCCAAGCAAAGGCAAGCCGCAAATACCCGGGGAAGACATCCCAACAATGGAGGTTGAAAACTTACAGACCACACCAGAACCGAAAGTTTCATGAAGACTTCGACTGAAGACTTTCACAACTGTGATGACTTCGACTGGACATTCCGATGCCTCGGTGTGCGAACGTCTCTCCAGTTGCGCGCCAGGTGCCACTGCCACCTTGGACCTTGGTCGCCCAATGCAGGTGCTACTCTCAAAACGCCCCAAAAAATCACGAAACAAGAATTAATAGAATGCAATAAATTTCATGAGGACAAACCATATGAAACGCATTGCTACTAGATTCAAAGGGTTGTTGGAAGTGGGTGAAATGTGAAATCTCGTCCCTTGACTGTGTGATCTATACCCAGGAACCAGTCCTACCCACAACCCTATTGAGCACCCCATAGCACCCCATCATTTTCGCCGAAACAGGCAAGGAATCCTTCATCCGCATAGCCGGACATCTCAGTTGACCATCTCACCAGTTGACACACTTTATAGCCGAACAAATTGCGGGCAACTCACTGAGACCATTACCGTACAGCCAAAGCTTTTGCAGACTTCCGAGCCCTGAAAACATATTGGCCCAGACTTCAGCAGGTAATTCGCCGAGTTTGTTGTTCCCCAGGTCCAGCTTCCGCAAGTTGCTAAGACCTGCAAACAGATCGGCCCAGATCTCAACAGGCAACTCACTGAGCTTGTTCCGACTCAGGACAAGCTCCTGCAGGTTGCCCAGCGTGGAAAAGACTCCAGCATGCAACTCACTGAGATCGTTTCCGCCCAAGTAAAGCTCCAGCAAGTGGCTGAGCCCTGCAAATGATTTGGACCAGACTTTAGAAGACAACTCGCCGAGTTTGTTGTACCACAGGTTCAGCTTCCGCAAGTTGCTAAGACCTGCGAAGAGATGGGCCCACACTTCGGCAGTCAACTCACTGAGCGAGTTGTACCTCAGGTTGAGCTCCTGCAAGTTGCTGAGTCCTGAAAAGACTTCAGCATGCAACCGAGTGAGCCTGTTGTACCCCAGGTTGAGCTCCTGCAAGCTGCTGAGTCCTGAAAAGACTTCAGCATGCAACCAAGTGAGCCTGTTGTACCCCAGGTTGAGCTCCTGCAAGCTGCTGAGACCTGAGAAGACTTCAGCAGGCAACTCATTAAGCTCGTTTTCCCACAATTCAAGCTCCTGCAAGTTGCTGAGTCCTGAAAAGACTCCCGCATGCAACCGAGTGAGCGAGTTGTACCCCAGGTTGAGACTCTGCAAGCTGCTGAGACCTGAAAAGACTTCAGCATGCAACCGAGTGAGCCTGTTGTACCCCAGGTTGAGCTCCTGCAAGCTGCTGAGTCCTGAAAAGACTTCAGCAGGTAGCTCACTAAGCTTGTTGAACCTCAGGTCCAGCTCCTGCAACTTGCTGAGTCCTGAAAAGACTCCAGCATGCAACCGAGTGAGCCTGTTGTACCCCAGGTTGAGCTCCTGCAAGCTGCTGAGTCCTGAAAAGACTTCAGCAGGTAGCTCACCAAGCTTGTTGCTGCGCAAGTAAATCTTTTGTAAGCTGCTCAGCCCTGCAAACAGATTGGCCCAGACTTCAGCAGGCAACTCACTGAGTTTGTTGGACCTCAGGTCCAGCTCCTAGAGTTTGCTGAGCCCTGAAAAGATTTCGCCTGGCAATTCAGTCAGCTTGTTTGAACCAAGGTCGAGGGTCTCCAACAAAGGAATTTTATCAAGGACGTTGTGTGGCAGCGAGGTCAACTTGTTTTCGCTCAGATCGAGAACTTGTAGCCACGGGCTGTGCTGCAAAAGCTCTTGAGACAGCACGCTCAGCTCGTTTCCATCAACGATCCGTGTGCCCTTCTCATCAGATTTACCCCCCAGTAATAATTGCTCCAGAGCTGGCATGGGGTGCAGCAAATCTTCTGGCAGCACCTTCAAATGATTTTGGCTGAGGGACAAGATTCTCAAGTTTGACAAGCCGCTGAACGTGTCTGACTTCACATGTTTCAAACTCAAGCGGCCCAAGTCCAGCAATTGCAAGCTGTCCAAAGGAGCGAACACCTTCTCAGGTAAAAATGACAACCGATTGCCAGAGAGCGACAATCGTTGCAAGCCCCGGCAAGAGGTGAAGGCATCCTCTGCAACACCTGTGATGTCCTGCTCACTCAAACTCACATCTTTGAGGCGAAGAATGCCTATAAGGCTGCAACTTGCAAGGTGTTTTGCGCCATCTTCTTTTTGCAGACAGCGACACGGAAAGCATCCGAAATCATCCTTGTGAATCGGGTAGAAGTGCGTTGAAAGCAATAGAGCAATGATCGTTACAAGCAAACAGGGCGAATACCTGAGCAGTGGTTGCAAGGAGAAACAAAGAACTCGAGTTCATCCATCAAAGCCCGATGGAATGAAAGGGAGGGGGCAATTCCAGAAACCAAATTTCAAGGGGATTGACATTGAAAATATATAGGGACTGGTATCATATAGGTATCCATTTTTTAACTTCACGAGTGCCTTTGCTGGGACTCCTGGAACTATGCCATCCGACAGCACCTTGCAACTGTGGAATCCTGGAACCCTGGAAACCCTGAAATACTTGGAATGCACCTCGGAATCCTGGACCTGTGAAACTAAGTGGGAAGCCTGAAACGTGCTGAAAAACCTTTCAAAAGCCCTGGAACCCCCTTGGCTGAGATTGCAAAGCTGTTGATGCTCTTGGGAACAACAACTTAAGAAGTGGTGTAGTATTATTAGTATGCTTTAGGACGCATAAAAGGGTGCAGCAAGTACAGTGTAACGTAAAGCTGAGAACAACAAGACGCCTCCTCTGTACAAATATGTTGGCAAGTTGAGGGGCTTCGAGATACTCACATGACAAATTGTGTCAACAGGTTGCGAAACCACGATGGATTGAAAATTTCAGAGACAACATAAAACGAAACCAATGCAGCAAAAATGCAAGGCTTTGCAACAAATCCGATATCTCTTTGAGCAAGAAAATCTCGATGGGATCAACAGTGACTGGGAAGCAGAGTTCGGTAAGCTTTGCAACTTCTTCCAGTAGGTCGATCGATCGCTTCGCTCCAAGGCACGGCAAACAGTGCAAACATGTGCAAGTGAATAGTAGACAGCAAAGAAACCAAAAAAGTCGGCTGGGAACGCAAATGCCGGGTCCAATTCTGCTTGGAAGTTCACCGAAGCCTCATCCCCGAAATTTCCTGAAATGGCTTGGCCCAGCTGTAGTTCGTGGATGGCCAGCAAGGTGATGATGAGGTATGTGCTGGTGTACGCAATATCAAGAACCGCATCCATCATGGCAGCACCCCGGCGCACCCACTTCACAGAGGGGAAGGCCAACAAAATCGTTGGATAGATGCTGTTCAAACATAGGAAACCCACAAAAGCCCAAAAACATCCTTCAAACGCATCTGAATGCTTCGGAGCTGAATAAAATGCAAATGACACAAGGCCACCCATGATTTGGAGCTTTCCAAAGGCCTGTAGCATCACGGTGAATAACTGCAGCATTGCAACTTTGAAGCCGTAGAGCTTGCCTTCAATGCCAAAATATTCCTCATAGAGCAGCTGGGTGGGTTTCAGCGGTCTCAACTTGATATTGGCTGACCGACACCGGCGCAAGTCGCTCAAGAGGACGATGATCAAGGCCAGGTATGGCAAAGAGAAAACAATGGAGGGCAACAGCTGCGAAAGGCTCTCCTCCAACCATCCAGAATCAGAAGTGGTAACCTCCGGCAAACTCCCATCACTGGGCTCAACTGTTTGCTTGAGAGCAAATGCATCTCGGATCAATTGTGGAAGCTTGGAACGGATGAAAGGTGAACTATACCGCACAAAGTATTGCCCCCCAAAGTACACTGCTGCAAGTAATGAGCTGATCCGAAGCAAAGCAACAACAACGACTACTAATCGTGATTGCTGCGCTGGTCGCCCAGACATAAGCAAAGGATCTACCTGCAAACTGCCTGCCAGAAGTCCCACCTGTTCTGCCAAGTGGTGCACATCATCCACTTGATTTTCCAGCTTTGTCAAGGAGGCTTCACGGAAACGGATCGTGGCTAAATAGTGGTTGATCTTGACCACCATCTCGGCACATCTGACACCAGCTTGGACGGAAGCAAAAGAATCGCGAGTACGCACGATCTCAATTTCCCTCAACTCATCATGCTCTGCTCTGGTTTTGAGAAAGCACCACGCACTGAGCATTCTTTCCCAATCATCGAAGATTACATCGCAATACAAGAGATCTAGGATTCGACTGGGTTCACCTTCTCGCACAACAGCCTCTTGTGCCACTGGCACTGTCATCAGTACGGGCCGCAAATCTTGCCGAGATATGGAACCAGGCTGCTCCTCCAAGAACTCTCGCAGTGGAAGGCACAGATTCTTGTCGAAGTCATCAAGATGATTTCTGGCTTCGATGAAGTGTTCCGTCAAGCTCGTGACTTGAGGCTGGGCAATATCGTCTCTACCCCAATCACCAAAAAGCCTGGACATATCATGCTGCATATTCTTTGCATACAAAGCTTCCGATTCAACTTCAAGCTTCCTTGACAGTGTGTGCATTCTGTTGAGCCGAGCTGTGGTGTAAACAATGCTGACAATTGCAATTGAGATAACAATCAGAAAAATCAACGTGCCAGACACTCCTGTTGACTGAGAAAAGGCATAACTTGCCACAGGCACCAGGCTGAGAACCAGCAGAACCAACAGAAATCGGCTCTCTACCTCTGCCACTGCTTGTGCAAGAATCAGCACACTAAGCTCCACATTCTGGCGCCAACCATTTACCGCAACGCAAATCCTTTTGCCAAGGCCCACCCAGTGGTGCCTTTCACAATAACCGCTCTCAGAACAGTGAAACGAATGACATGAAGGATGGCTGCATGGGAACGGTTTGTTTTCATCAAACATCTCCTGTTGAGTGCTGTGAGTCTCTGTCTCTGCATCTTCTCCAGCTGATTCATCACTGCTTGTGGCGCTGGACCTGCCAAACCTGGTTGGCTCAAAGTACACTGAGCTGACATATGGCAGCTGGCGGGCACTGAGTTGTCGCATGCGTTGCCAGATGAAACGGAAGCTCCGGGTGCAACGCCCTTTGATGACACCGCCAAAATCAACATGAGCAAATCCAGGGAACCAGCTTCGCTTTGGCAAACCTTCAATGTTCACCCAAGTGTCCAAGCTGCTTCGCAACCATTTCAGTGACTTAATGAACTGGTGAAGTTCTATTCTCGCATCAATCGACACCTGGCCACATCCACTGAGATCAAGAACTATACTCTCCAAGTTTCGCAACGACTGCAAAGCTGAACTGAAGCATCCGAATTCTTCCAAACATGGCAAGTTCATGAACCTGCAGCCACTGGACCGTGGCAGCTGAGAAAAAGAAAAATAACACTATCATGTCCATGGAAACAAAAAGAAAGCGTAGCAAACAATATGCTGAAAATCATATTTTTTGCTGGTTCAAGATGAAGAAAAATGTGACTGGAAATTCACAACTCAGCGCACCATAGCTCCAAGTACATGAGGCTCTCCATCTCTCTCAGGGCAGCTCCAAGCCCTGCCGCAGTCCTGAAGTGCGAGGAACCTGTGAAGCGCAACTTCAACTGGACCAAAGACTTCAAACACTGCACCGTCGATGTAAACATATCCAGAGTCTCAAGACCAGAGAATCCCAGATCTAATCGCAAAACGCGCAACTCTGCAGGAAGGCTTTGGATCAGAACGTCAAGCTCATGGTCAGAAAAATTCCGACACCCAGTCAGTGAAAGCTGCACTATCTTTCTACCAACATCTGCCTTTACAGCCCTGGCCAGGAGTTCAGTGCATCTTCCTTGAAGGACAAATCCGTACCAGCTGGATAAGGCGAAGTGCGAAGCAAGAGCTTCATCTACTCGGTGGAAATTCGGATCCCCAGCGGGGTACGACTGCAAAAGCTCAAAGTCACAAGTTCCAAGACGAGAAAAGGCAATGCTGTTCAGTATACGAACTTTGTCGATGTTCTGCGTGGCATGAGCTTCCTTGAGCTGTCCAACATTCAAACTCATGGTTATGGCTCGCTCACCTTCTGGAAAAAGAGAGAACTTAAATTAGAATGAGCCATTTTTGCGAGGTGACATACATTACATAAAATGCAAATGGAACAATATGAACAATGGACCATGGACCTTGTCCATTCAATCGATCGTCCCAATGCATAAAACGGTTCTCCAAACAACATCAAAACAGCAAAAGTTTCTTGCAATCCCGCACCAAGTTTCTTCAATCTTTACCTTCAAGCCCTTTTCCAAAAGGTCCAGAGGAAAGTGACGCTCACGAGCTGCTTTGTGGTGCAACCCAATAATGCCAATCATTCGACTTTCTGCTCCAGCAAGTCCGTCAGTAAGCACGTGAGCCTCAGAGATCAACAAGTTTGGAAGGGTCAAAACATCACTTTTCACTTATCACCTCTTTATAAAGATATATGGAAAGGCAGGCTTACAGTAAGGTGATAAGGTGATGTGAAAAGGTTCACCATGGTGCAGAAATGGGGGTTACGGTAAAAGGCGATGGTCTCAACCTTTCGAGCAGACTACCCAAAGGAAATGTCCACACAAGGCCACCACTTCTGTGTCGAGTAGCTTTGTCATATGCATCAGTGGCTCCCACATCAAGCAGTAAACGTCGCCTGGACCAGTTGCCCTCTCGATGTTCGATCGCCTTGGTCGCTTTTAGGGTGAAAATACCGGTGTGTTTTCACCAGTGTCTCCTTCGATCCACTATCTACTGAAGCATTGCCTGCCTTTACGAACATGACCTGGTGTTGCTCCTGCTCGTTATCCCCCATTCACATCATGCTGTTTGGTTGTGTTTCGCATTTTGCACTGAAACAAGCTAGCTGCTAGCTGGACAAATCAAAACGTGTCCCTTCAGGCAGAATTCACAAACGAAAAAAACTCACGTTCATGTCACATTTTTCTCGTTTCATGATGCTTTCTCGTACTTCTAGGAATTTCTAAGGCTGGGGCAATGGCTTCCTCGAAGCAGCACCAAATCCTTTCGAAAGGCGTTGTTGTTGTTGTAAGCGGACGTCAACCTGCTCCTCACCGAAGTGAAGTAGTTAAGACGCCATAGTATGCCATCTGCGAGAATCAAGTTCCCATACTTCTCCAAGCAAAACTCAAAGGAAGCGAAACCTGCCTGAAATAAAAAAGAAGTAAACACAGTGCGCCAGCTAGCATTCCGCATGGAATGTTTGTTGATCAAGTACGACTTGCCAAAAAGGTAAAGTCCGTAGCCTCTGCAGACGCCAAACTGCTGCAGCCCAAGCCACGGCTCGCTGATGTCGCTGCACAGCCGCAGCGATCATGGAGCGTGAGTCACGCAACACCTCACCTGCCTGAGCATCGGCTGTCGCATTGAGAACGCGGCAGAGATGAACATCAATCCAACCATCTGGTGGTGTCCAGTCAGGCACCTTGTTGTGAGAAGGGATCCAAGTGCAAACAGTGCCCTGAATCAATAAGCCGCTGATCCGCTGCCAGAAAAGCGGCAAGTCACCCTCCCAACGGCCAGTGCTAATGCCTCGCTGAAGCCGCCGCACCAAAGCCTGATTGTCAATCAAGAGCATCACCGGTCTGTTAGCTGCAGAAGAGGCTAAACAAGCTTGCAGAAGAGCAGCACGCTCACCTGCAGCAGGTGTTTGCTCAAAACCAGTCACGGCACCTTGAACAGTGGTGCCTGAAAGTGTCGAAACCGCCCAGCTAGCTCTTTGCCATCGATCACAGGAAGTAGCTATGATACAACTGCCGTCCAAACCCAAGGTGGGTCGCTGAAGAGGATCGAATTGCTGAATAAAAGTAACCAAAGCAGGATCTGCAACCATGTTGGAAAAAGGCAACACAGGAGGAGCATCCACAAGTGGAACCAGCAAACGACGTTCAGTAGCGCTCCTGAACTCACCATCCCATGGCTGCGCTTGGCAGTGAAAAGTGAGATGTTCTCGATCAGGAGACCGCAATCCACATTCACAACTCAAAGCAGAACCAAAGCGCTCTGTGACCCTGCCATCCACTGCAGCACCAGTCAAAACCCTGCGACTGTAGTAATCCATGCCTAAAGCTGTCACCTTTTTTCTCACGTTCATGTTCATGTCACCTTTTTTCTCGTGCTATGATGCTTTCTCGCACTTCTAGGAATTTCTAAGGCTGTGGCCATGGCTTCCTCGAAGCAGCACCAAATCCTTTCGAAAGGCGTTCCAGCTGAATCCAGCACCAAAAGAACTCCCTCAGACATCTGCATAGCTCTGTAGAATGAAGTGCTGCGCGGGTTGCTTTTGATATCCTCTTCCACGCAGTGCTGGTTATTGGCATATGCACAGACCCAATAGAATGTACTGCTTGAGAGTTCTCGCACCAGAGCATGCTGCGCCAAGCAGGCCAGAAACTTACAAACAGGCTCCTCACAGATCTGCCCAACACAAAATTGGACGTGCTTCAAAGCAATAGATTGACTTTCATCTATCATTACAGTGGATGTTCATTTCTTTTTTGATACAGCATCCTATTGAGGGTCCGAAATAAACAAGTCCAAAACTCAACCAAGGCTTCTAGGGGAATGTGAATTATTAGCGGAAAAAGTAACTTGTTGCTGACAGACAATGAAATAACACGATCTCAAACAACCTTGAGGGTTTGCCTATCCAAGGCTCGATCCAAGCATGTGACACAAACCAGTGAGGTCTCTGCACTTGAATCGCCATGATCTCAACCATGCTGCAGCCCTTTTTCGCATAGCCCTCCTGGGATTCTGCATGATGGGGCCAATTAAAAAAAGAAAAACGGTAGATTCTTCAAATTGGAAAATGTTGTCACATCATCAACAGATCCAGGCTTCGGTGGCTGGTTTGATGATCCCATGATTCGCTTGATACAAGTTGAACGTCTCAAACTGCAGCCTTGTCCCACGCTGTTCTCCGAAAGTCTCGCACCATCTGTCAGCCATCTTGGAGATGAAAACAACAATCTTTGCCAATTGCTCGCGAGTGATCCCTCGCTCTGCAGTATCTTTGATGCAGAAAGTCTCCTCTGCCGTGTGTGGGGCGACCAACAAATGCAGCAAATGAAATTGGAATGGAATTCAAAAAGCATTGTGCAGTACCCTCAAAAGGTTCAATCATGGGAATCATGGGCCTGCAATCTCTGAATTTCAAACGATTGACTTTTAAATATGGTTTCTCTTTATTCGATTTGATCCTATTGGTTATATTGCCTTTGTTTCACATGGTCTCAATGCACAAAGGCGCCTGTTCAGTGGCCGACTGTTCCCCCACTATCAAGTAGATCTCACAAGCCACGTTCGAAATGCGTTTAAACCACTGAATCCCAAAACAAAAAAATGAATCGGTCCATCACACTGCTGCACTTGTCGCAATTGGTACTTGTTGGCATTTAGTTTCTAATCGTGATTTGCTACTTGGCATGGTCTGCATTACCTATTGAAAAAGAAACAAAGCTGCAGGTTTCTCTCCTGGCTGGTGATCTCTGAGTAGTTTGTCAAGACTAAAGTGCTGTGGCGGGTTGCCTCCACAATGTCATCGCACTGTAGCTGGCAGACCCCACTTGACAGCAACTTGTTCCCATGCCATGGGCTGTCTGGCAAACGCTCACGTAGCAATAAAATAATGTCAGCAGCGGTGCTCGAAGCAGTCAGTTTGATATCAAAGTGACCATGTCCAGGAATATCCACAGAGACCGACATGAGGCAGCGAATCCTTTGCGCTGTCCAGCGGCACGAATTAAGTGCAGTCTGTAACAATACACAGATTTGTCGATGGTTTATTTATCAACGCGCTTGGCTGCCCAGGGTTTCATGTCAAGGTGGCACCGCAGAATGCAGCTGCGGTGCAGGTCCGTCTTGAAAGGAAGCTACGGAGACACAAATTGGGCACCTCCAAAAGAACCAACGCAGTAAACACGGCCCACACGGTCAAGGAAAAGAACCACAACCACTTTGCAGAACTCCTTCGAAAGCAAGCTATGTCCAAATAGCAACACTGGATGTTCAAATGTATGATATACAATATCATAGTCTATAGATATATTCTAGACGATGGAACATCCGTCATCAAAGATATTTCATGCTTGGTTTCCGTGCTCGTCTAGGACCAAGGCCGAGAAGTCCTGCAGCTCTTCGACTGACAGCAAAATGATGGGCATTGAGTTCTTTTCACCCCTGAACCCTAAAGGATTCTACAGGATCCTAAAGAGACAAAACAAAAGAAATTCTGTGTTAAGTCATATTATGATCATCTATAATCTAACTTCTGACATGTACATCCTCCAATAGCGTAGCCTGGCCGTGAAAAACCAATGTTGAAAATAGGAAAGTCAACTGTAAAAGCAGGATTTCCTATCACCAGGTTTCACAACCAAAGGATACATGTTGGGGTTGGAAGCACTTCCTCCCTGCACCAAGGGCCTCAACATCTCTCTGGGACAGGGAAGGTGGACCCGGGTTTCTCTTGGAATACCGAGCCTCAACGGAAAATTCGGAAAATCGTTGTCTCTCAATGCAGTTGACCCGTCCAAAATCCATGGGCCGCATAGTGCTTGAAAGATGATGGGAATGTATGCAATCTTCCAGATGTTCCAGAAATGTTGCTGCCAATGATATCCAATGATAATCAAGGTCATCATCCCCTTATTTTTCATGATAAAAAATCGTGTTACTAGTAGTATGTCATTTGGTATCGACTCTAAATCATTCTAAATCCCTGGCCATGTCCTCATCCCGGACTAATTTCATCCCTGACTAAATCATACTAAATCCTCACCCCACGACTCTCGAAACGCGCAGTGCTGGGCGTTCGAGCCGCTGCCGCAGTGAAGTTTTCCTGCAGCGCTGGGATGAAGCCAGGCTCATCTTTTTCCCCGTGCGAAGCCCATTTCCACTGGGGACGTCCCAGCAAACGATGGACTTTTGGATAAGGCGCCAATTATCAGGATATAACTGCTGTCTAAATATCGGAATCCCCACACACAACTCACCATGCGAAAAGCCGGTAATACGGAGCAGGTTGCGGAATAGTCACATGGTTGGCCTTCATCGGTCCACACATTGAGTGGTGTAAACACCCCAAACAATGGAAACCATCTCAACTTGAAGGTGTTGAACTTCCATACAAGTTCTGGCATTGATAACATGGATAAACCCTAACCCTTGCTGCATCGTCCTCCATGGTAGAAACCCTGGCAATTGTCACTATCTGCAACGCTTTCCTCAAGTGATGCACCAAAACATTTGAGATCTTTCAGGGTCAAGTCCAAGCACCTTTTTCCAAGCTAAGCCATGGATTTTGACCCAGCGGATCGACCCCCACCAGATTCTGGATTCCAATGGTGTTATGTTGTGTTTTGTTGTATGATGTTGTCATGTTCTTAAAAGGAATGGCCATACACCCACAACTTGTCGAAACGCAAAAACTCTCGGCGTGATGTTCCCAGAGCCAGTGGTGCCTGGTCCAAGGCGCAGCGTGCCGAATGGCAGCACTCAGCGCTTCACGTGGTCGACACAGTGGTTACACCTGTCTCAGCGGCTTCTTTCAACGTTTTTCAAACAAACAACTTCTGTTCTGCTCCCTTCAGACTGTCTTTTCCTTGTTGGATGTCTTTCACCACAAGAGGGCCAATCTTGAACCCTACAAAGACTGAAAACGAGTTTCCAAGCAGAGGCAAGCTGGAAATACCGGGGAAGACATCCGACGCCAACAACCCCACCCAAAGATCACAACAGGAACAGAAAGTTTCAAGGTGACTTTGATAACGGTGGCGACTTTGACTGGACTGAATTCTGGTGCCTCAGTCTTTTCAGAACGTCTCGCCAGTTGCAGCGCGCCAGGTGCCACTGCAGTGGGTACACTGGACCTCGGTCACCCAACGCATGCGCTCCCAAAATGACTCGCAAAATCATGAAAAAACATCAGAATCCGCGAACACAACATGAAACTACTTTGGAAGGAATCGTTGAAAGATGTTGAAAGGGACTGAAATGGGGAATCGGAATCGAGTCACTTGACTGCGGAGGCTCTTTTTTCGCCTCATCACTGCGAAATCCCAGCCCCAGGCAGAGCATCCCATCATTTTCACAGAAACAGACAGCGCGTAACCGCAGGATACCTCAGTTGAAGCACTTTACTTTTGAACAAATTGCAGGCAACTCGTTAAGACCGGTATCGTACAGCACAAGCTCCTGCAACTGGTCGAGTTCTGACAGCATATTGGCCCAGACTTCAGCGGATAACTCGCCGAGTTTGTTGACTCAGAAAGAGCACCTGCAAGTTGTCGAGCCCTGCAAACAGATCGGCCCAGATCTCAACAGGCAACTCATTGAGCTTGTTCTCACCCAGGGCAAGCTTCTGCAGGTTGCCGAGCCCGGAAAAGACTCCAGCATGCAACTCACTGAGAGCGTTTCCGCCCAAGTAAAGCTCCTGCAAGTGGCTGAGCCCTGCAAACGATTTGGACCAGACTTTAGAAGGCAACTCGCCGAGCCTGTTGTACCACAGGTTCAGCTCCCGTAAGTTGCCAAGACGTGCGAACAGATCGGGCCACGCTTCAGCAGGCAACTCATTGAGCTTGTTGGTCCCCAGGTTGAGATCTTGCAACTTTCTGAGCCCTGAGAAGACTTCAGCAGGCAACTCATTGAGCTTGTTTCCCCACAAATTTAAGCTCCTGCAAGTTGCTGAGTCCTGAAAAGACTCCAGCATGCAACCGAGTGAGCGAGTTGTATTCCAGGTTAAGCTTCTGCAAGCTGCTGAGCCCGGAAAAAACTTCATCAGGCAACTCACTAAGCTTGTTCCAGCGCAAGTCAATCTTTTGTAAGCTGCTCAGCCCTGCAAACAGATTGGCCCAGACTTCAACAGGCAACTCACTGAGCTCGTTCCGTCCTAGGCCGAGCTCTCGCAACTTGCTGAGCCCTGAAAAGACGTTAGCAGACAACTCGCTGAGATCGTTTCCGCTCAAGTACAGCTTGTGCAAGTTGCCGAGCTCCGCAAAAACTCCAGCAGGTAGCTCACTGAGCGAGTTGTATTTCAGGTCGAGCTCTTGCAACCTGCCGAGCCCGGAAAAGACTCCAGCAGGCAACACGCTGAGTTTGTTGGACCTCAGGTGAAGCTCCTGCAACTTGCTGAGCCCTGCAAAAACTTCAGCAGGTAGCTCACTGAGCGTGTTCCAACTCAGGTCCAGCTTCTGCAATTTGCTGAGCCCTGCAAAAACTTCAGTCAGCAGGCAACTCACTGAGCTCGTTTGCATACAAGTGAAGCTCTCGCAACTTGCTGAGCCCTGCAAACGATTTGGCCCAGACTTCAGAAGGCAGCTTACTCAGTGTGTTGGCACCCAGATTGAGATGTTGCAAGTTGTTGGGCCCTGCAAAGAGATTGGCCCAGACTTCAGCAGGCAACTCACTGAGCGAGTTGACCCTCAGATCCAGTTTCTGCAAGTTGCTGAGCCCTGCAAAGACTTCAGCATGCAACGCACGGAGCTTGTCGAGGCCCAGGTCAAGCTCCTGCAACTTGCTGAGCTCTGCAAAAACTTCAGCAGGTAGCTCACTGAGCGTGTTCCGACTCAGGTCCAGCTTCTGCAATTTGCTGAGCCCTGAAAAGATTTTGCCTGGCAAATCAGTCAGCAAGTTTGAGGCAAGGTCGAGGGTCCGCAACAAAGGATTCTTATCAAAGATGTGATTTGGCAGCGAGGTCAACTTGTTTTCGCTCAGATCGAGAACTTGTAGCAGGGGGCTGTGCTGCAAAAGCTCTTGCGGAAGTGCACTCAGTTGGTTCCCATCAATGATCCGATGTCCGTACTCATTAGATTTGCCCCCCAACAAGAATTTCTCCAAGGCTGGCATCGGGAGCAGCAAGTCTTCTGGCAACACCTTCAGTCGGTTTTGGCTCAGCGACAAGATTTTCAAGTTTGACAAGCCGCTGAACGTGTCTGACTCCACATGTTTCAAACTCAAGCGGCCCAAGTCCAAGAGTTGCAGGCTCTCCAACAGGGCAAACACATTTTGAGGCAAAACAGACAACCGATTGCCAGAAAGCGACAATCGCTGCAAGCCCCTTGAAGAAGTGAAGGCATCCTCCGCAATACTTGTGATCCTTTGCTTGTTCAAACTCACATCTTTGAGGTGAAGAACGCCTACAAGGTGGCAGTTCGCGAGGTGCTTTGCACCATCGTCCTTTTCCTGACAGCGACACGGAAAGCATCCGAAATCATCCTTGTGAATCGGGTAGAAGTGCGTTGAAAGCAATAGAGCAATGATTGTGACCAGCAAACAGGGCGAATACCTAAGCAGCGGTTGCAAGGAGAAACGAAGAACTCGAGTTCATCCATCAAAGCCCAATGGTATGAAAGGGGGGGGCATTCCGGCACACAAACTCACGCCATGAAACAGAAACCCAATCTCAGGTATCCATTTTTTTTTACTTCGCAAATGCCTGTGGTGTGACTCCTGAAATACTTGGAATGCACCTCGGAATCCTGGACCTGTGAAACTAAGTGGGAAGCCTGAAACGCGTTGAAAAACATTTCAAAAGCCCTGGAACCCCCTTGGCTGTTGATGCTGCTGGGGAACAACAATATAAGAAGTGGTGTATCAGATTGTGTATTAGTATGCTTGAGGATGCACAAAAGGGTGCAGCAAGTACAGTAAAGCTGAGAACAACAAGACGCCTCCTCTGTACAAATATATGTTGACAAGTTGAGGGGCTTCGAGATACTCACATGACAAATTGTGTCAACAGGTCCAACAGGTTGCGAAACCACGATGGATTGAAAATTGCAGAGACAACATAAAACGAAACATATAACGAAACCAATGCAGCAAAAATGCAAGGCTTTGCAACAAATCCGATATCTCTTTGAGCAAGAAAATCTCGATGGGCCCAGCAGTGACTGGGAAGCAGAGTTCGGTAAGCTTTGCAACTTCTTCCAGTAGGTCGATCGATCGCTTCGCTCCAAGGCACGGCAAACAGTGCAAACATGTGCAAGTGAATAGTAGACAGCAAAGAAACCAAAAAAGTCGGCTGGGAATGCAAATGCCGGGTCCAACTCTGCTTGGAAGTTCACAGAAGCCTCATCCCCAAAATTTCCTGAAAGGGCTTGGCCCAGCTGTAGTTCATGGATGGCCAGCAACGTGATGATGAGGTATGTGCTGGTGTAAGCAATATCGAGAACCGCATCCATCATGGCAGCACCACGGCGCACCCGCTTCACAGAAGGGAAGGCCAACAAAATCGATGGATAGATACTGTTCAAACACAGGAAACCCATAAAAGCCCAAAAGCATCTTTCGAATGCACCTGAATGCTTCGGAGCTGAATGGAATGCAAAGGACACAAGGCCACCCATGATTTGGAGCTTTCCAAAGGCCTGTAGCATCACTGTGAATAACTGCAGCATTGCAACCTTGAAGCCATAGAGCTTGCCTTCAATGCCAAAATACTCCTCATAGAGCAGCTGGGTGGGCTTCAACGGTCTCAACTTGATATTGGCTGACCGACACCGGCGCAAGTCGCTCGAGAGGACGATGATCAAGGCCAGGTATGGCAAAGAGAAAACCATGGAAGGCAACAGCTGCGAAAGGCTCTCCTCCAACCATCCTCCAGAATCAGAAGTGGTAACCTCCGACAATCTCCCATCACTGGGCTCAACTGTCTGCTTGAGAGCAAATGCATTTCGGATCAATTGTGGAAGCTTGGAACGGATGAAAGGTGGACTGTACCGCACAAAGTATTGCCCCCCAAGGTACGTTGCTGCAAGTAATGAGCTGATCCGAAGCAAAGCAACAACACCGACCACCAATCGTGATTGCTGTGCTGGTCGCCCAGACATAAGCAAAGGATCTACCTGCAAACTGCCCGCCACAAGTCCCACCTGTCCTGCCAAGTGGTGCACATCATCCACTTGATTCTCCAGCTTTGTCAAAGAGGCTTCACGGAAACGGATCGTTGCTAAATAGTGGTTGATCTTGACCACCATCTCGGCACATCTGACACCAGCTTGGACTGAAGCAAAAGAATCGCGAGTACGCACGATCTTGATTTCTCTCAACTCATCATGCTCTGCTCTGGTTTTGAGAAAGCACCACGCACTGAGCATTCTTTCCCAATCATCGAAGATTACATCGCAATACAAGAGATCTAAGATTTTGTCCCATCCACCTTCTCGCACGACAGCCTCTTGTGCCACTGGCACTGTCATCAGTACGGGCCGCAAATCTTGCCGAGATATGGAACCAGGCTGCTCCTCCAAGAACTCTCGCAGTGGAAGGCACAGATTCTTGTCGAAGTCATCAAGATGCTTTCTGGCTTCGACGAAGTGTTCCGTCAAGCTTGTGACTTGAGGCTGGGCAATATCGTCTCTACCCCAATCACCAAAAAGCCTGGACATGTCATTCTGCAAATTCTTTGCGTACAAAGCTTCCGATTCAACTTCAAGCCTCCTTGACAGTGTTTGCATTCTGTTGAGCCGAGCTGTGGTGTAAAAAATGCTGACAATTGCTATTGAGATAACAATCATAAAAATCAACGTGCCAGACACTCCTGTTGACTGAGAAATGCTATAACTTGCAACGGGCAACAGGCCGAGAACCAGAAGAACCAACAAAAATCGGCTCTCTACCTCTGCCACTGCTTGTGCAAGAATCAGCACACTAAGCTCCAGATTCTGGCGCCAAGCATTTCCCGCAACACAAATCCTCTTGAAAAGGCCCGACCAGCGGTGCCTTTCGCAATAACCGCTCTCAGAAGAATGAAAAGAATGACATGAAGGATGGCTGCATGGGAACGGTCTGCCTTCATCGAACATCTCCTGTTGAGTGCTGTGAATCTCTGTCCCTGCATCTTCTCCAGCTGATTCATCACTGCTTGTGGCGCTGGACCTGCCAAACCTGGTTGGCTCAAAGTACACTGAGCTGACGTGTGGCAGCTGGCGGGCACTGAGTTGTCGCATCCGTTGCCAGATGAAACGGAAGCCCCGGGTGCAACGCGCTTTGATAACACCGCCAAAATCAACATGAGCAAATCGAGAGAACCAGTCTCGCCTTGGCAAACCTTCAATGTTCACCCAAGTGTCCAAGCTGCTTCGCAACCATTTCAGTGACTTGATGGATTGGTGAAGTTCCATCCTCGCATCAATCGACACCTGGCCACATCCACTGAGATCAACGACTATACTCTCCAGATTTCGTGAAGACTGCAAAGCAGAACTGAAGCATCCGAATTCTTCCAAACATGGCAAGTTCATGAACCTGCAGCCACTGGACCGTGGCAGCTGAGAAAAATCAAAATAACAATATCATGTCCATGGAATCAAAAAGAAAGCGCAGCAAACAATAAGCTGAAAATCATATTTTTTGCTGGTTCAAGATGAAGACAAATGTGACTGGAAATTCACAACTCAGCGCACCATAGCTCCAAGTACATGAGGTTCTCCATCTCTCTCAGGGCAACCCCAAGCCCTGCCGCAGTCCTGAAGTGCGAGGAACCTGTGAAGCGCAACTTCAACTGGACCAAAGATTTCAAACACTGCACCGTCGATGTGAACATGTCCAGAGTCTCAAGACCCGAGAATCCCAGATCTAATCGCAAAACGCGCAACTCTGCAGGAAGGCTTTCGATCAGCACGTCAGCTCATGGTCAGAAAAATTCTGGCACCCAGTCAGTGAAAGCTGCACT